GTCATTGTCCAGAGTTGGCGAATTGGGCGAATTGGCGACTACGTGAATACGTGATGAGACGAAAAAAGATGGCTCCCGATGAGCCGATGAAGCGAAGACGCGGATGGGCAAACCGCTGTAAAACTCAAAGGCATTAAACGTGGTAATTGGACGCCTATTCGTCCATTTCCCTATCTTTCACATGCGCCTATTCGCCCGCGTCATCGATAGCGGACAGCGCTAATACGCGAATCCATTTTGCAAGAGTTCGTGCAGAATGCTGATATCACTCAAGCAGCTCAGCTTAACAAGTTTCACCGGCATCATCTTTTCCCATCAAGTTACTGAAGTGAACGCAGCTAGCCTGATCGCCGCTCTTTAAACTAATGATGCGCTCTTCGCGGTGTGTCTGCGTCTCATTTGTCCACTATGCTCTCTCCTCGCCGGGTTTGTTTCCCCAGCATCCGTTTGGAAGAAAAAAGTGGAGGCGCGGATGAGAGGAGCTAGGGTGTGTCGACAAGTCTCAAAATCAAATGCTATTGAAATAGTCAAAGCGGTGAGGGTGGTATCAGAAACCAGGCTCCTTCAGGAGCATCCGGCACCGTCTGCGGAGAACTTCACCGCCATTTCGATTCTGTGCCGTTAATTGCTACGACGTGACCTTAAAAAGGTGCACTTTTATTCACAGGGCGTCAGAAGTTCACAACTTCATAAACGAAGAGACAGTAAAAAACAATGAAACACTCTAAAAAATAATAAAACCTATGAACGCGAGAAACATTAAAAACCATTCACAGAAGCGCAGACAGGGCTGACCCTGATCTGCGAAGCATTTGCAGGCTTTTTGGTCATCGTGACCACACTTAGAGAAGGTAGCAAAAATCCTAACGAAGGCCCTCAGAGAAGGTAGCAAAAATCATAAACATGGCTTTAGAGGCTGTCAAACCCTAACAAAAGTCAAAACATAACCGTATGTAGGCTGCGATTTTCAGATCGTGAACGAACAATAAGCCACAGCAAAAAAAAGGAAAACAACAGCCAAATTAATTCTGAATTAAGTCGCCAGGAGAATGTACCAATGGAAATAATTAATTCACGTTATCAATTAAGTTAATTCGAAGGATTTATGCAGTCTTCCTCTGCGCATCCTCATCGCTGCTTCTAGATGCAGCACATGCTCTCACCCAAATCTCTGAATACGCTTCATCTTGTTCAACAGTGACTACAGAGTGTGCAAGAAGACCTGAAAAACTATCATTATCGCTGAACCTAACATGATTTAAAGCCAAGAAGACCAAGTCCTTTTTGAAACTGAGAAATGAGGTAGAACACTTACGTAGCAGCGAAGAAAACAATCCAGCTGCACGTTTCCTCGACGTAGAAGCGCTTGGAATTACAGAAGACAACGGAACATAGCCGCTCGTATTTGAGAGCGCTCTGGAACGACATCGCTTATTAGAAGATCGGGTGAGCTAACGTCGAGCAGTCCTCAACGGGATGAGGAGGGACAATGGCTGCGGAGATTTCGTCGACTAACCATACGCGCTGTTTAAGGTCTTAAAGATGACAATTTACGAAGACAGACAGCCTACCAGAAATCAAGACAGATGTGGGTGATGCAGGGATGAAGGAAAAAAACTAAGAAAAAGCCTGAATCCGACAAATAGGACCCCTTTTCGATCAGTGATTTAGCAAGTGATGCGATTCCCACCGGTGCTGTCCTTTCGACGCTATCGCTCTCTGCAAAACCGCCGGAGTGAGATGGAGAGAGGGAGGGCGTGCCCCTGCACGGGTATGGCTGCCTGGCGGATGTGCTGGGAGCTGGGGACATATTTTTCACTGTGAAACGCGCACTGCCAAAGGGCCCGCCTTTCTTTCGACAAGGTATGCCTCCCCTATTTCGACCCTTTGATCCTTACGAAAGAGTCCGATATGCGAATGACTAAAAAATACGCTTACTCTATGAGGCGAAGACACTCCTCTTGCTGAAACTTCTCCTTGAGAGAATCCGGCAACGAGAACCTGAAAAATAATAACCGATCAGTTTGTTCACATTAGAGATTTCGCCTCGTGTTTTAATCACGAACCTTCCTGAACTGCTCTGCAAAGATTGCTCTAAGACATCCCTAGGATGGAAAGGTTCCAAAAGTTGAACGGATGATGGGCGGCGATCTTAAGTAAGAAACTATAGAATCGAGGAAATTTTGCGTGAAGGTTTTTTAGTGGCGCACACTGCGCACTTTCATATGCATACCGAATTCGCTAGTTCCACTAGTCATACGACGTGCTTGCTCAACGTAGGAACCGTGAGACTCTCTAACGCGAGGTTCTTCTTGAAGAGAAATATCGACAGCCATTTGCAACTGTTCCTGAGCCACAGCTTCCTGAAAACACACATAGTGAGAACGCGCAAACTAAATTTAACAAAAACGCACATTAACCCTTCAAGGAGAGATCGTCCAGTTGCTCATTTGGGAACGATGACTTGTACCTAAAAAGGGAACAATATGTACCTCGGAACTTAAACCAAGGTGCATGCAACCGTACCTATCTGGTGTTTCCTTAAGAGTTATCTTGCTCGGTGTCAGCGTGTAGTCCCTCTCCTTAAACAAAACATTAATTGCGGATCTCACTCGATGGAAGAGTGTGCATTGATCACATTGTAGATGGCTTGTAAAAAAAAAGCAAAAAAAGCTACCTCACTACCACGACCTTCCTTCCCATCTTTGTCCAGGAACCTGGAAACTAATGAGGTTTATGCATTTCCCCCGAGTTCACGCCTCTTGCATCACGCTGACTGTCGTCAGCATTTTACATAACAAACCTGGGTGGTGTCTCTCTCAAGTACGCAATCCCGGGAAGTATATCGCTTACTGAACTCTGAAACAAACATATCCCTTCTTTGAAAACTGCTATCATCAACAGTTCTTACCTCCGTTGAAGAATCACTGCTTCGATAATGCCACAGTTTGGAAGAGGGCCCTCGATCAGGCGGTTCGAAAACACTTTCAGTAAGAGCTTGCTGATACGTCATTGTATCGCAAACTCTGCTGCGGTAAAGCTGGATGCACTCCTTGGGGAAACCTACGTAATCTAGTTACAGGATTAAAATTCCATCAACGAATTTATTAGGAACAAAAAAATTTCCCACAGCGCGCAAACTGGACCGCAATGGTGAATAAAATACAACACTCACGTTTTCCTGCATAGGCAGGGTAAGGCAGCAGTAATTCGTGGAGTGAGGGATACTTACTGACCGTCATACCAGCACGGAGCTCCTCTTTGGTTTTTAAAAGTGAGGAGTAATCAAGTTGGAGTTTCTTCATGGATTCCTAAAACACCATGAATGGTTGAATAAAAATAACTTCTCACGCAGACGGGTGCACGAAAGGTCAGACCGACGCCACACTCGGCAGCGGACAAGCGATGGAGCGATCGCGATCGTCGCCGAGTGTGACGTCGGTCTGATGACAACGTGCTAAAGGTATCAGAGATAGCGCATACTGTAAACTGTCCTCAAATGTAGCAGCAATAGATTCACCCTTGACACATTTGCAAGATTATATAACCAAAGCTCACGTATGAAATCGTTGTTCCTTCGGTATCGAACACTGCTGATTCCTTCTTCGTCTTGGACCGCGATGATCGTCCAGCTCGTCTTTGTTAACTGAATCGAGCTCCAGCGACGGTTGAAGAGGACCGGCCTCATTAACTTCTACGGCTGGCACATCAGGATTTTTATCAGCAACAGTATCCAGTCTAGTCTTTTCGCAGCCGGTTCTTGAACATCTTCGTCTTTCGAAACCACAGGTGGAGACTACAAGAAAGTGACCATGATGTTCTTTTTTGAGACGATAATGTCACAGACTGATGGAAGTTGGTTGGGGATACCTGACTCTTCTGGACGTCACCACGCTTGTCGGCTGTCAAATCTAGATATGAGCCGGCCCTAAATCAAAACTCTACAGTAAAAAAATCGAAGTTGCGATTTTGGGGAACTGAAAGTTTCGAGTGTGATACAACATCGAAATTTAATTATATGACTTTTCAAGACACTGCAAAGAAATCAGACAATGGTGATTTTTCGAACGAGCAGCACACTAACATGAAAGTCTCGCGGCTCATATTAGCGAAAGCTTCAGGTGGCGGTAGAGGCGGAAATTCATCAATCATTACCGGCTCCGCAGCCTGTGCCTGTTGTAACTGACTCTGAAAGGATGTTTACAAATACATTTGAGGAATAGAAGTAAAAGGTAGATTGAAACCAAATCGCCTCTATGATGCCACAAACCTGAGCATCTCTTCCACTTTTTCAACTGATTCCTTCGAGCTCCCGCTTGATCGTAGATCATTCCAATTGATACTGTAAATTCAATCAAAAGCAGTATGAAATGGACTGAAGAATCGTATGTGTAACGAAAGCCCATGAGAGAAGCGACACACAATCCCTGCTTGCTTAAATCAATTGGTAGTTGATTTCGATCGTCAAAGAAAACATCGGGGCGCTGCCAAATCACAGGCTCATTTTCGACCATAGTGATATCGCACGGACGGGCGAGACATACGAATCTGTTGACCTAGAAATTAGACTCATTGAATCGAATTCTTTAGAACTATGCAAGCAAGCTGTAACTTACTGGTTCCTCGTCAACGTCAATATCAGGATTATGTTCCCTTGTTTCTAACTTCGAACGACGTTGGCGTTTCCTTGCTTTGTCACTTGAACGTAAAACAAATTCAGAAATGGAGAATCATAATGGAGAAATAACTACTGCAACGTCATTTCCAAACTAATGGTTGCCCCGCGAGCATTAGTGGAACCAGTAATGGATTGTCACCCTGGAGCGGTACAGACGGCTGGCAACGCAGCGATAGGTTAGTAGAGAACCAGAGCAGAGCGCAGTTAAACCTTTCACGATTGGAGGTTAGGAAAGGAAATTTGATTTAAGAAAAGGAAGATCCAGTGGGAGAGCATATTAGCGATTAGAGGAAATTTTAATAAATGAAAATGCTGTAGTTAGAATCAACTAGATCGTACCTTATTGGAAAATCAGAACTGAGAAGATCCTCCATTGGTAACCGCTTACATGCTTCATATGCAGAACGAGCATCAACTGAAATCATCATGAGATGCGTGATTGAAAAGATTTCAAATACTAGAACCACAATAGTTCAAAAAAGTAGACACGAAATTAGTCCTCACACGAAAAAAGCGTGACCTGCCGGTCATAAATGAGAACCAAGCCATATACAAGTTGTCCGAGCAGGTAGAGAGAAAATTTCGATGTAAGATCTGCCTCTTCACTTCGTTTGGACGGTGTAAAATTCAGAATTTCATGACTGGAATAATGGAAGCCGATTAGAATGAAATCTGCCTACTACGGTAATATAACATCTATTATTGTAACAAGTCTAGGTCAGGAAAATGCTCCCGGGAAATTGAGAGGAGGGGACTGCAAGTATCCTCAAATTTGGCTAAGTTATCTTCAACTTAAGTTTGAGGATCTAATTTGAAGTTTTAAGACTTGCGCTGCAATGTCGACAAGCAGTATCCCGTAATGCTGAAAAAGATGCTAGTCAACTCACCACATGTTAGGAACTGAAATTTCCACAACAGCTCTTTTAGGAAGTTTCTTCGCGGAGCCAGATGTAGCGGCCCTCCTAGAATAAAAGCACTATCTATAAAGCAAAATCCTGCAATACTGATGTTATTATCTGTAGAAATTTTCTTAACGTACAGAATGTGGTGGTACTATTCCAATAAACTGCCCCAAATATACCCAAAGACACTTGAATTACATTCTGCGCTTATGAGCGATACGATTTTGAGCATGATAAAGTCTACTCTACCCTGAACTCAATCCTGCCTACTGTTTGGGGTCTCTGGAAAGTTCCAGAAAGGGATT